GTAACGGATAAGATTTCGTTGGGCCTAACCAAGGTAGCGTGCTCTCTTGATGATGTACTGGTGGGTGGCGTAGACCAAAACGACTGCAACCAGAGAGTCTTGGAAGTGTTGAAACGCTTTCAGGAACATAGACTTCGTGTGAATCAGGACAAGTGTCAATTTTTTGTACGCGAAGTGCGTTACTTGGTATACTTGTTGAGTGACCAGGGTTTAAAGCCATGCCCTGAGAAGGTAGAGGCTATCAAAAAGGCACCCGCACCGAGTAACGTGACGGAGGTTAAGGCATTTGTGGGGCTGCTAGCTTTTTATGCTCGTTTCCTCCCAGACTTAGCTGCCACACTGGGACCTTTGTATGAACTCTTAAGGAAAGGCAAGAAGTGGCATTGATCGGAAGAATGCCAACAGGCTGTAGACAGAAGCAAAGATCAGTTGCGCAGTGCTGGGGTAATTGTCCTCTACGACCCTAGTCTACCACTTCGAGTGACGGTCGAAGCATCCAGCTACGGCCTCGGAGAAGTCTTAACACAAGACATGGGAAACGGGGACTACAGACCTGTGGAGTTTGCGTCTAGGACGCTTACTGTGGCTGAAAAGAACTACGCACAAGTGGAAAGAGAGGCCTTGGCACTCATATTTGCGGTCAAGAAATTTTACCGGTATCTCTTTGGGCGTTCGTTCACCCTCGTAACTGACCACTACCCGCTAACGTCGATCCTGGGACCTAAGTATACTACCACAGCCATAGCTGCTAGGATCCAGAGGTGGCGCTTGTTACTTGCAGAGTACAACTTCAAGCGGGGAGCTCGGGGATGCTGATGCCCTATCGAGACTTCCTCTGAAGACAACGTAGGAGAGGAAAGTATGTTGAAATATTTTTCACCCGCAGAGCAACCGCTTCTTTCAAGTTCTGATGTGGGGAAAGAAACCCTCAGCGACCCCTTGCTGCAAGGTGTCCTTGAACACACCAAGAGAGGTTGGCCAACATCCGTGCAAGATCCGGGGTTGCAACCCTTCTGGCACAGGCGCTGTCAACGGACCAAGGTTGCCTATTCTGGGGGATTAGAGTCGTGATTCCACAGGCACTACTGGCTGCGGTCCTCAAGAGCCTGCATGAAGAACATCCAGGAATGGTGCGTATGAAACAACTTGCGAGAGGGCAGTGTGGTGGCCCGGAATCGATGCCATGATCGAGAACAAGGTGCAGTCATGCGAGATCTACCAAGCGGTCCAAAACGACGTTCTTCCAGTACCACTCCAGCCATGGAAGATGACCTCGCGGGTCTTTGAACGTGTTCATTTCGACTTTGCAACCAAGTCGGGAACCAACCTGTTTGTTTTGGTTGACAGTTTTTCTAAATGGGTTGAGGTCCTGCTCATGTCTTCCACAACCGCACCCCAGACAGTCGAGAAACTTATGGCTGTCTTCGCACAGTTTGGGCTACCCGAAGAAGTGGTGACTGATGGAGGCCCCCAGTTTCAAATTGAGGAGTTCAAGGACTTCTTGAAGGATCAAGGAGTGGTGCACACCATGACGCCACCCTATCACCCGGCTTTGAATGGCGCCGCGGGGACGGCTGTGCAAACAGTCAAGCGAGCGCTGCTCAAGCAAGTACCTGAATACGACCTCCAAGGGAAGAGAAGGAATATCCAGGAGAAGTTGTCGTGTTTCCTACTTGCCTACCGGACGACACCACACACAAGTACTGGAAAGGCACCTGCAGAGCTCTTCCTGGGACGGCTTCCGCGGACCCGACTGTCGCATCTCAAGCCAGGTGCAACGTCCCTTCCACGACGAGAGAAGCAAAACAAGAAAAAGGAGCTGGCTGACAAGCGCAGAGGTCCAACGAAACTCTTTCAAGTGGACGACAGAGTTTGGGTCAGAAATGTGTGGGGGGAGAGAGAAAACTGGACTAAAGGAATTTTAAAGAAAGTAATCAGTCCGGTTACATACCTGGTGCGGGTGGCTATCCAGATTCGTTATGTGCATGCTGATCACTTGCGCTTTCGAAGTGAGGGCTCGCCCCGATCAGCCTCTTCGGAGAGTGAATCGAGTGACAGTGAGAGTGTTGATGAACCAGGCGAATGTGAGGTGCCTATGCCACTGAATGCTGACAGTGGCCTAGCTGCTCAGGAAGTTCGACGGTCGAGCAGAGCTCGACGCCCTCCAAATAGACTGGTGTACTAGTGTTCCTTTATGTAAGTGTAGAGGATTGTTGTGTATGTATAAAGCAATGTCACAGGTTCCTATTCTCACTACCAGGGTGATCTGGTCTTTGCCCTGTAAAATGTCTTCGCCATATTAAATTTGTTCTTTGTGTGCTGTTGCTCTGTGTGGGAGCTTCTGTTCTTTGGCGCTTCGGCGCGACACAACAATACCCTTATATTTTTTTATGATTGTAAAAGTGAAAAGGCAGGCCTAAAAATGTTGTACACGCTTTTAATGATTTAAAACGTATATGGCCAATATAATGCTTTAAGGCGTTCAAATATGAATGATTAAATAAGGCGCTGAGAATAACATCAATTACCGAGAACATCAGTACAATAAAAGCGAACACGTCAAATATGCAGGTGTACGCCGTCCAGAACGCATTATTCCGCTTCTGATCGAAACTCTCGATTTCAATTAAATACGTGACACCAATTTTTTGTCTGTGTATGTTTCTTAGAAGCGAGATTATCAAGTGTGAGCAGACCATAGAACAAGCCGACCCTCCTACACATAAACTCGCTGTTTCATGCCAAGAAGAACTGCAAAATAAAAAGAAAACGCTCATAGCCACTTGTTATGGGCTTTTTTAATTTTGTTTTCGTATGCCCCATACAAAACGGTGCGATCACAGTTTTAGAGGAAACCAGACATTGAATACATACAACCTGAACCTCTTTCCACCAGGGTAGCTAAACTCGTGGAGCAAAACATTCTTCGCTTTTTGACGTAGCGGGGGGAGTGACCAAAAGAACGCCGCAAAGTTTCCTCCTCCCTGCGTGCGCTCAACTTCGCAACTTCTGACGAAAAATCCCCCGCGATCCCTAGGAGGTGCATGAGAGCACGAGACAGCGCGGGGAGGCGAGCGTTCACGCCGTTCACTGTACGTTGTCTTTGAGCCCTCTAGCGCCGACAATCCCGTCATGCCTCGCCCAGGCGAGGAGCGAGAGCAGACGACGAGAGTTCGTCTACTACGATGAGGCATTCGCAGAGCGGAACTGAAAGAAAAAGTTGGTTTTCTGCTCGAAAACGCGTCCCGCGGGCCACAAACTCAAATGCGAGCTTGAATTGTAAGCGTCTGATATTTCACGAAGGGAGAAATCGACGGCCCGTGTTTTATTTGCAAAATTTGAGTCGTTTTGTAGCCATATACAGATATTATATACAGTCGCTGAAACCTACCAGTGTGTAATGAAAGGCCCAGGACAACCACAGAGGCCGCGAGATCTAGCATCATTTGTGTATGGGTGAAAAGTAGAGCATTTTTCGACAAAGCTCCCACAGCAGAAACCTGTGACGGATTCACCCAACGTCCGGGAAGGCTAAACATGAAGACGTTGCCCAAGACTCAAGCAACGACATATTTGAACGGCAGCTATCTTGCCCCGTCATATTTTGTTTTGAGGAAGCTCTCGTTGTCAATTCTTTCACCAGGGAAATAAAAAGTCTTACGAAACGTATTGCTGGATGTTCCAAATAACTAGATTTAAGCCGTATCCTTTCAGTGGTTCACTCATAATACAATGCTTAAAACGAAGCAAGCTCTTGCGCGTACAGTGCCGTCAATTTTCTCAAGTGTATGCTTTTTTGTAGTCAGCTGGTTTCGGGAACTTACGCCGTCTGTAGATATCACTGACAGCCGAGTTACTTATGTGGAAGTCATCGCAAATGTAAGTTCCGCGTTGCAGCAACCGACGTTTATATAGATAAACGATGGCAGCGACTGGCACTCTCGCGTTCCCACCCATCACGTCGAACAAAAAGGCGCTAGTTTCGGTTTGAGGTCGGTACTTTTCTGCAACATCTATGGCGACAGCATCAGTCTGCACTCGGTGCATTCGGCAAGTTCGTTCGGGGCCTGTTCTCCGTGCAGCACTCCGCGGGTGCAATGCATTAGAATTCTCACAGTGCAAGTCTGGATCGCGAATCGGGAGCCCGTCACTGGCCTCACCGGCGGCCATTGCCGGACGACAGGCAATACGCCGCGTCCTGTGTAGTTCTCCCTTTGTTTTCGTCCTTGTTGCTTTCGCCTATTGCACCATGAAGCAATACATGCAAGTCTAAGGGAGAAACACGCAAAAATTGGGAGCTTGTACGCGGTGCTCGAGGGCGAGCATTTTATGACGTGCTGCGATGATTATGTCGGGTTCTTGGAGATCAAATAGACAGTCGTCAAACGTATGAACATAGATTTAAAAAAAAATTGGCCGGAGCACGATTGACTTTACCGACGTCGCTTGCTTCGGTTGCTAAATAAATGGCACGTTCAGCGACTAGACGGCACGCTCCGAGTTTCAGTTTGTCACGGAAGCCCTCACAGCAGTTCAAAGAAAAAGCTTTCACGATGAAGCACTGTGTACAAGCGGTCAAAACGATGCGAATGTCCCCAGCAAAGGCATTCTAACTTATCGTTTGCTGAGCTTTGATGACTCCGAAATCACGGATGACTCCACAATAACTCTCGGTAGCCCTTGTCTCATTGAACAGTTAACGCCCAACAAAGTCACCCTGGACCTTCAACCACACAACATTTAGTTAAACAAGATTAGTATTCTAACGCGTTTAATATTCTTGCCCACAATATTAACTGTTATTTGCGGAAACACGATAGAAGTTTCATGGTAGAGAACAACCTACTAGCGTAATAAAATAGCGTTTTCCCGTTTCTCCTATAGCATGCATAAGATCGTGTCAAGCGATGACTGCCGGTGGTGCCGCTCGACCCCGGAAATACAGACCTCTATCCGCGATCTAGCCTCCTAAGAAATCAGTGGTGCCAGTGCTATTAGCCCTTTGATGCCCAAACTACTTTCCCGGTGAAAGAATGAGGTGAAACTTTCAGGGTTAATTCAAAACGAGTAAAAAAACGATTTGCAACAAAAATTTAAAAATTGGCTTTAATGGTTATGCTTTTGTGGAATGTTGCTTCTGAGCTACATTGGGCATTCGGGACCACTACTTAGTGTGAAATGCCATGAAGCAGTTTCTGCTGGGGATCAGGCAGAGATGCACGTTGCACTTGCTGCAGTAGAGGAAACTGAATCCTTTTGAGCAGGACCTGCAGCGTTGCCTTTTTTTCCCAATGACTGGCCAGTGCTGAACACCGTCGTACCGAACATCGTCCACCGGCTTCTGCATTCTTGGATGCTTAGCGCTTTGATTTGGCGATGCTTCGTCTTCTGAACGAGACTGCCGTTTTTGTTTATTGGCATTTCTCAAGCCAAGCGCCTCAGCCACATGCATCCTGAATCTTAGCAGCGAAAGTGGCTTTCGGGTGTCTGTCGCCTTGCAATGACGCTTGTAGAGCAACCAGGCATTCACGATGGACACATCAATGGTCCAGTAGAAGATCCTCATGTGCCACTTTCGTGACTTGTGGTCGGTACGATATAACTCGATGAGCATATCTGCGAGGTCGACACCTCCCATTGAGTCATTGTACTCTTTTACTGCAATTGGTCGAGTCACTTCTATCTGTTTTTTTTCTTTGTTGCTCCAACGGGTGCACGTGTCAGTAGGCTGAACGCCAGCGTAACTTGACACCAACTGTACAGTTGCATTGTCAAGCCACTTGATGACTTGAACCCCACTTTCAGCATCTAGTTTGTAGTCCACGGCACCCCTACCTTGACTTTTTAGCTCGAAGTCCAGAGCCAAGGGGCATTTTTCAGTTCGGTCTGACCTGACAGTTCCCACTAACAGGTAGCCCTCTTTTTTTAGATGTTCAACCAGACGCAAACTGGAAAACCAGTTGTCGAAGAAGACTTTGTGGTTTATCCCTTGTGGTAGGTCCCTGACAAGATCAAGAACGATATCTCCAGAGATCCCTAATCCATGGTCTGTTGCAGTGCCTTTACCTTCATAAATGACAAAATCGTGCATTATGCCCGACGAGCTGGCCCTCGTGAACACCTTGAAGCCCCATTTGTGTGGCTTCGCTTTGATGTACTGCTTCATCTGGCTGCGGCCCTTGAATGGTATGATTTGCTCATCGATGCTTTGCTTTTCTTCCGGTGGCACCAGTCTTAGGTTCTGTCGGAGCGCGTCTATAATGGGACGGACTTTGAAGAGCTTGTCATGTCCCTCGCTTCCTTTTGGTTTCTGCTCCATGTTGTTGTTCATGTGTAAAAAGCGATGTATCTCCTCAAACCTGTTCCGGCTCATCAGGTCTGCAACAGGTGCATATCTTGTCCCACCCTGCCAGAACATTCTGAACTGCGGCATTTTTATGACACCACAGAGCACAAGGATAGACAAGTACTTCCTCATCTCTTCGCCAGTAACACCCAAACTCTTGCCAGACTGTTGCACACTGTAGAGGTTTGTTTCAAATGTGAGTCTTTCGCACATCATTTCATCAAAAAACTTCGCAAAGTACTCGTATGGAGTGGGAAGTTCTTCAGGGGGGGGGTGGCAATGATCCTTTCCACTCATGATCAGTGAACACAATGTCATCTCGTATCCATTTTCTAGAATCCTTTCTTTTTGATGCCATCCGGGATTGAGGAGGAACTGACGGCTTGGTTGATAGTGTCTCTGATGGCCTGTGTGGTAAGCACGCTTCCTCTTGAGCGTTCATAGAGGTATCAATGTCCCTCACGACTTCCAAAGGGCAGAGATTGATAAACTGAAGGTCAGCCGCAGGGTCATAGTCAGGGTCATCGGGATCACTGTCAATCTCCATATCAGAAATATCCCCATCAGGCAAAAATATTAGCTCTTGAATTTCTTCTTCAGTAAGGTGTCCATTTCTTCCGGTACCACTCATCTGGACAGTAAAAAATATTACACCAACATATTTCATTTGAATATTTTTATCAATGAGAATGTAACTATTACAGTAATTAAATTACACTGAATATCCATACTTTATATGGCGATAGAACAACATAAATCGAAGTACGACTGAACCACGAAGATCTGAACCACTAGTAACACGAACGCCCAATGTAGCTTCAGAGCTACAAAAGTTTGTGTTCCACTTAGGGTTAGACAAACCAGACAAAAACTAATATATTTGTTAATGAACGTTTTCCGTTACGAGTTGAGATTGCATTCAGACGCTTATTTGTCTCGAAAGACTATTGGGTAATATTATATTTAGAATAGTACTTACATTGGCGGAGCACCCAAAAAAACGTGGCTGCCGACGCAAGCAAGTTGGGGTATAGAATAAAATCAGGGCACGTGCTGCCATCTATGTTGTAGGTGGCGAAACACAAGGTGTTGCATGAGAGCTACAATGGGCATTCGCGGTTCCTGGCGTCTTTGGTATGTAGAAAAAAAATATTCTTTGGAGTGTTGCTCCTGAGCTACTGTGGGCATCAAAGGGTTAGACATAAATCGTTTATTTGCATCGGTACACCCATACCTGCCGGATGTCGGGACGAAAACAATATTGGCCGAAAACCGGCCAATATTGAAGCCGGTTTTCGGCCGATATTGCCTCGACACTCGCCAAGAAGCAACGTGCTGTATCGGCGACTCGCTTGTGTAATTTATTTGTTATGTCATATTATTGGGCCCCGGGCCACTGTGCACACCCCAAAAACGAAATGTACTGTGGTAATTACACCTTGACGAGAAGCAGGCACGTAGCCAGAATTTTGTTTAAGGGGGGGGGGGGGGGGGGGGGCGATGACAAAGTGCTCCATATAAGGGAGCGAGGAGAGGAGGCCCCAGCAAAATGGAAGATTTCGGGGGGGGGGGGGGGGCGAACCTTATGCCCCCCCCCCCTTGGCTACGTACCTGACGAGAAGGGGTTGTAGTTTTACATCTTTATAAAAAGGTGTAGTGCATTAACCCACGTTTTAAGAAACGTGTTTAAAAATTCACTCATTTCTAAAGGTGTGAGGTTTACATTTCCTTTATAAGGTCCATCGCTACACTTATTAGGGTGTTAGTTATGGGACACCCCACCTACATGTATAAAGTTGTGAAAATGTAAATGTAAACACAATCTCTTCCATGTGATTACATCGCGTGCCCATGAAACGATCGGTCGATGACACGTCGTTCGATGAACTGATTTGACCGCCAATGAGTGACGACTGCCAGTAGAATTTCGGGGAAATAATTCTGCCGGCTGCCGGGAGACTCGAGCCTACACTCTAAAAAATGCCCGTGCGTCTGCTTTCTCGCACAACACTTGGAGAGCCAATCACCCCACTTTACGGAGGCAGCTCAGCGAATGACGATGCCAAAACATAAGTTGAGACCAAAAAACGCAGTCTGAGTTGTGACATTAAGGGCCGGTTGCACCAACGCCGCTTACCTTAACCCAAAGCGGCGCTTTCCTAAGCCGGCTTAGCGCCCTAAACCGAGCTCAGGTAAGCGCGGGTTTAAATTCCGGTTGCACCAACGTTAAGCCGGCTTTACAGACGCGCCCCAAGCTAAACGCTGGATTTGCCTAGGGAATGTAGGGACAAACAGAGCGAACTAGGGAACGCTCAGAGGGACGAATACGATTGGCGGAGAGGAATCACGTGATGTAAACAACAAAACTGCTGCTGTAGGTGTCGGAGGCGTCTGCTTTTCGCTGTATTTCTTCGGTGAGTAACGAATTTAAGGTCTCCAAATTTAATCATTTTCACGCTTAACTTTCAAAAACAGGAATCAGAGCTTTAAATAAACACGTATGCTCTTTACATCTGTGATTGTGTGTTTATTATCGATTGATAACGGAATATCTTGACAGTAAGAGTAGTTTTCGTGCTCACATTTTGATCGGGGGCCCCAAATCTCACTGAACGCGAGAAGGACGCTCCACTCGCTACATCGCTGAAGACAAAACATCGTCGAGAATAAGTTGGCAAGTAAGATGACTACTAAAATCAAGTCATGCCTGAGACCGATGAAGTTCAAAACAGTGACGAACTCGCCACGGCAGCTGCGCAAATGCCTAGAACTCGTCGAATAGAAGTCCTCAAGAGATCGTCGCGAGGTCCTTGCATCGACCGTACTCGTTTCTATCAGAAAGGTGACAGAACGGCACTGTACCGTCGTTGAACATCCGCTGCAGCCTCAAACAGACTTCAGTTTCACTGTTGAGTTCACAAAAAAACAAAAAGTGAATTTTTTACTCGATGTGTCCCGCCGCAGGCACAGGTTATACTTGCCAACTTTATAAATGCCTCAGTACGCCAATATCCTGAAAACGGCAACCACGGCGAGCGGTTTGAGCAGCCTTGGGATCCCCAAACCAATTTCTCAAACCCGAGTCGTTTGGTTAGGGTATAATCGAAGAATGCACAAGACAAATTACACAAGACTTTCCCTGTACCTTCTTTGTGACCTTGACTGCATTTACTGCAAATTTCAAAAGGGTGAGAGGCGGTAGCTAGGCTGTTGGCGTACACGAAACAAGCTAAAACATTCACAATCGGGAAAATTTTGAGCTTTCTCGGTCACTGAAACACTTAGATTATGAACTTGAAACTCTCCATTGTTTGTCATGTCAAAAGGTGGCTTGAACTAGTCAGAATAAAGTTCTTGTTGTTGCTTATTCTTATGGCTTTATACATAAAGGATCGCCCTTCATTGAAAACTTCATGTAGTGTTTTTTTTTATTTTAATAGTTGTCTTTCTCACTGTTGTCCTTATTTGTGAATTACCAACTCACTCAAGTTAGCATTTCATAAAAAACACATTTGTTGAACTATGGAAATATGTACATGTCTAGTGTATATGTAATTAAAGAGATTTGATTGTCCATAAAAGTTACAGACACTTATATAAACAATTATGTAAGCTTCCTTTGATGGTTTGTCTTATTGCACACTCTTGAAGTGAGTTATACGAACTACACAATTGAAATTCTACTTATCAGGCTATTTTCTAGATAACACTGAAGGTCTCGCTTACAACATATTGCTTGGTCAGTCATAGTCACCCAATAGATTGAAATATAAGCTAACAACCCCCCCCCCCCAACACTTTCTTCAACACAGTTTTTGTTTAACAGCTATCGTTGAATAGCTTCATGAATTTATTTTTCCATGGCCCAGGTTAGCGGCCTCTAAGCTTTGTTCACTTGATTTTTACCGTGACAAGTCTCGCACAGAATGCAGCTCGTACAAATTCAGTATAGTTTCATTACGGGAAAGGGCAATTCAGGCTAAGCCACCAAATATCAGAAACACCTAAGCACAGTGAGATATTACCTAGGGAATTTTAATGTGCTTAATGTCAGTGTTGCATCCGTAATATGAATTGAAGTAACCTCTGTCTTTTCAGTAAATTTTACATGATCTAGTTCCGTAAGCATCTATATGTTTGCACCATGTTAGGATTACATTTTCATGTGTAAATAATTTTGAATAATTTTAAGCGATCACACTTTTTATTTCAAAAATGAATCTACAATCTGTGGTCTGACCATAACATAATGGTTCTCAGCACTTCAGTGCCGTCTGGAGGCAAGTTGGGTCACCAGATAAAAAACTTTGTTGTAAAAGTACCGTCTAAGACCAATGACTGACTACAATCTGAGGATGACAACCATCCTGTGGTAATTCTCAGCACTTCAGTGCCGTCTGGAGGCAAGTTGGGTCAGCAGATAAAAAACTTTGTTGTAAAAGTACCGTCTAAGACCAATGACTGACTACAATCTGAGGATGACGACCATCCTGTGGTAATTCTCAGCACTTCAGTGCCGTCTGGAGGCAAGTTGGGTCATCAGATAGAAAACTTTGTTGTAAAAGTACCGTCTAAGACCAATGACTGACTACAATCTGAGGTTGACAACCATCCTGTGGTAATTCTCAGCACTTCAGTGCCGTCTGGAGGCAAGCTGGGTCAGCAGATAAAAAACTTTGTTGTAAAAGTACCGTCTAAGACCAATGACTGACTACAATCTGAGGATGACAACCATCCCGTGGTAATTCTCAGCACTTCAGTGCCGTCTGGAGGTAATTTGGGCCACTAGATAGAAAACTTTGTTGTAAAAGTACCGTCTAAGACCAATGACTGACTACAATCTGAGGATGACAACCATCCTGTGGTAATTCTCAGCACTTCAGTGCCGTCTGGAGGCAAGTTGGGTCAGCAGATAAAAAACTTTGTTGTAAAAGTACCGTCTAAGACCAATGACTGACTACAATCTGAGGATGACAACCATCCTGTGGTAATTCTCAGCACTTCAGTGCCGTCTGGAGGCAAGTTGGGTCAGCAGATAAAAAACTTTGTTGTAAAAGTACCGTCTAAGACCAATGACAGACTACAATCTGAGGATGACGACCATCCTGTGGTAATTCTCAGAACTTCAGTGCCGTCTGGAGGCAAGTTGGGTCACCAGATAGAAAACTTTGTTGTAAAAGTACCGTCTAAGACCAATGACTGACTACAATCTGAGGTTGACAACCATCCTGTGGTAATTCTCAGCACTTCAGTGCCGTCTGGAGGCAAGTTGGGTCAGCAGATAAAAAACTTTGTTGTAAAAGTACCGTCTAAGACCAATGACTGACTACAATCTGAGGATGACAACCATCCCGTGGTAATTCTCAGCACTTCGGTGCCGTCTGGAGGTAATTTGGGCCACTAGATAGAAAACTTTGTTGTAAAAGTACCGTCTAAGACCAATGACTGACTACAATCTGAGGATGACAACCATCCCGTGGTAATTCTCAGCACTTCAGTGCCGTCTGGAGGTAATTTGGGCCACTAGATAGAAAACTTTGTTGTAAAAGTACCGTCTAAGACCAATGACTGACTACAATCTGAGGATGACGACCATCCTGTGGTAATTCTCAGCACTTCAGTGCCGTCTGGAGGCAAGTTGGGTCACCAGATAGAAAACTGTTGTAAAAGTACCGTCTAAGACCAATGACTGACTACAATCTGAGGTTGACAACCATCCTGTGGTAATTCTCAGCACTTCAGTGCCGTCTGGAGGCAAGTTGGGTCAGCAGATAAAAAACTTTGTTGTAAAAGTACCGTCTAAGACCAATGACTGACTACAATCTGAGGATGACAACCATCCCGTGGTAATTCTCAGCACTTCAGTGCCGTCTGGAGGTAATTTGGGCCACTAGATAGAAAACTTTGTTGTAAAAGTACCGTCTAAGACCAATGACTGACTACAATCTGAGGATGACGACCATCCTGTGGTAATTCTCAGCACTTCAGTGCCGTCTGGAGGCAAGTTGGGTCACCAGATAGAAAACTTTGTTGTAAAAGTACCATCTAAGACCAGTGACTGACTACAATCGGAGCATGACAATCATCCCGTGGTAGTTCATAGCACTTCAGTGCCATCTGGAGGCAAGTTGGGTCACAAAATAGAAAACTTTGTTGTAGTAGCACCATCTAAGACCAAT